ATTCACTATAATTCCTTTTGTGCGTCAGTATAAGTAAAAGTGTTTTTCCTGGTGAATCCTGGTGAAAAAGTACAAAATATTGAGAAGAAAGTAGAATGGTAAAAAACGTAGAAGCAGGATTTGCTTCGTTCCCTGGCATTTAACGATGTTTTTTACAGATATAAAGCCGAAGAAACATTTTGGTGAAATTAATACAAACTTTTTTCTACACCCACATGGATATTAGCTTATCTATGCACAGATTACAAAACGAAAAAGTATGCTATTACCTTCAACTGAACGAATATATTTCATATCCATTCTAGGAGTGAGAACACTACAAAAAAATAAAATCCAGCAAACATAGTTCATATTTTAATCAACCGACTGCTATTATTTTTAAAATTTTAAATAAGTGACAATTCTGTCAAACTAATTGTTAGTATATTTTTTAGTTATTGAGATTAAACATACATTTAAATGAGTTATTCTTGTGTAGAATCGATAAACAATAGAATTTATATTTTTATTTCATCTATAATTATAAATAATTTGTTAATTAAGGGGGTGGGTGGCTCAGTGGTAGAGTCTCTGCCTGCGGATCCAAGGGTCCCAGGTTCGAATCTTACCGTTGGTCGGGATTTTTTTATTTAATTTATTTATTTAAAATTAATTCTGATGCCTTGGTAGGATTCTCCACTCGACCATTCACTGTTGGGTTCTAGTTAACAGTGCGGTTCCTAAAGTGGCGCTGGGAAACAGTAACAAAGCCTACACAGAACACGAGGCAAAATAACCTTAGCAGTTGAAGCCGATGACACAAAAAAAATTATTAATTTAAATAAAGCTATATGAAGCCAATTTAATTACGAGTATTAAAGCAAAAAGAATAAACGCGTAGATTTTGATTTAGATTTTGCTATTTTTTATTCAAATGTAATAAACGATATTTATAAAAGAAAATTCCTCGTGTTTAACGCAGGATTCTCCTCATTAACTTGCACAATTTCCTATTCCGTCACCACGTTGCGGACTTCATGCAGACTACCAGCATTCATTCTGATAATTTGGAATCTTCCAAATTCCCGAAGATGCCGCTGAGAGTTGCTGAAAGTTCTGCAGTTGGGCAGCCGACGATGAGGAAATCTTAACGAGTGCATCCTACAAGCTTCAAGCGCGTTTCATCAGCCAGACCATAAACAAAATGAATATATTGCTCGAATGAAAATGGTTTATTTTCCATTGTTAAAAAAAAATAAAAATGAAGAACCACACAAAAATAACTAAACCGACTGTGAACACCAAAACGTAAATAATGACAAATGTGTCATTGTTTAGGAGAAAAACAAAATACTGCTAACAAAGGTCACAGCCTTCCAGGTTTTTTTTAAAATAATTTTCATAGTAGTTACAATTTTTTTTAGAAAATAAAAACAGAATTATTAATTAAATAAAATCACACTTTGAGACGCCACTGGAATAAATAATGAATGAAATTTCATAACACAAATAAAAATTAAGACAGATCTATTTAACGACAATGTTTATCATTTAGTAAATAATGTTTTACTTCTTTTAATAGTGCCAGACACAGATTTTTTTCTTGGAAACAAAGCTAGATACGAGTAAATCTCAAGAAAAAAAAGTTAGATTATTGAGCGGTTAATATAAAAAAAATCTTTAATTGTCAAAAAAGCAGTGCCGTACCATAATTTTACCTATAAGTATCAAATAGGTAGTCCCCGGAGACACCACTGGAATTAATAAATTTATTTTATTCTCACCATAGGAAGGCCCTCATGACAGCAAATAAGCTTACCAAATTTTATTTAAATCGATTGAAAGGTTTTTTAAAGAAGTTAGGACATACGATTATATAAATTTTTTTTCTTATTTTTGGCTGGTAAATACACCCCAAAAATATTTGCACTCAATTTTGAATCACCCTGTATTTAAAATGGAACAACAATCCCTATTGACAAAAGTAAGCCAAATTGAATTCGCGCATTACGTTACACGAGTACTGGTGAGATTGCGCACAAAATGCCTTTGGAGGTCCGTTTTAATCATTTCATGTACTTATTTTAAAATCAGGAGAGATTAATATTTCTGAAACTCAACAATAAAAAAATTTAATTTACTTTTCCGTTATATGCCTTAAGGTGGTATTCTTACAACTTGAAGTGATCTAAAAATCTAAAAATAGGAATTAGGGCTACTTGCAAACCGTATCATGTGGAGTATATTTTATATTATAACATATTTTTATAAGGCTAAAAACAACATAAGTACATAATTTAAATGGAACCAGAAAAGAAAGTTTTTTCTTTCAAATAAAGAGTTGATGTTTAATATAAATATATGACAATTTATTGGAAGACTATAAATTATATTTTTACATAAAAAGTTTACTTTCCACAACAAAGATATTGAATTAAAAAGAGATTTACCTACTTGTGTAACTATTATTAAAGGAAATGATATGTATATAGAAATGAAAAAATAAGCTCAAATTTAAATGGTTGCCCTTATTTTTATATGATTTTGACTTACTTTGTTTTAGATGAAACAACCAATTCTAGTGTTTTTTTTTATTTTACCAATTTGATCTTGATTATGGATTTCCAAGTTAGGTATGCATGCAGAACTTTTTATAAAAAAAAATTTTTAGCAAGATATTCTGATGCAGACTCGAGATCTATGATGTCTCGCAACTTTTTTCTAGCTTTGTGCTTGAGCTGATTAGATTTTCAGGTACATCAAGCCTGTTGAAGAGAATTAACTGTTTGAATATGAAATGGTATTTTTAATATAGACGTACCATGTACCCAACTATATACAGATTCACGCTTTCCAAAAGTTCAGGTATTTTAATGTTTTCTTCCTTAGCCAATTCTATAGTATTTACTTTTGAAATATTGTAAGGATAGAACTTAAAATTGAATTGACACAAAATAAACTTAGAACTTAAAATTAATTAAAGATTGACTGGCCAGTTGGTTTTGAAACCAGTGCCAAACAGAAATACACACACACACACACACACAAAAACACACACACACACACACACACACACACACACACACACACACACACACACACACACACACACACACACACACACACACACACACACACACACACACACACACACACACACACACACACACACACACACACACACACACACACACACACACACACACACACACACACACACACACACACACACACACACACACACACACACACACACACACACACACACACACACACACACACACACACACACACACACACTTTTGATTCTAAAATTCCTGAAGTTTTGCCTAGAATTACCATCCAGTACAAGGAAGCAACAATATAATATTCTTAAAATGTATTTTTAGTGTGATTAAGAATATTATTACCCAGAAGTTAGTTTTGTGATTTTCTTTTATAACCATTTGGTGTAAAATGTAGGCAGCCATTTAATTAAATCAACGACGAAAAGCTACTAAATTAATCCAAAAGCTACTAAACTAATCCATTCATTTATAATTATGCCCTTATTTATTGCAATCAATCGACTGCCACATTAGAAAGAACCAGACTGATGCTAATTTGAGTGGGGTTTGTTTGTGCGAGCTTGTTTATCTGAGGAGCGAGCATACGTTTTATGAATGAATCAGTATTTACGTCTACGAAGTTTGTTTTATAGTGCTGCTATGCTTAACAATAAATTGCGTACTTTCCTGGAAATCACTATATATACTATTTACTACGAGAAAAATGTATTAAACTGGCATCAATAATGCAAATATACTTCCTTAATCTAATTTTGAAAGCCTTTTTGCATTTTAGAGTCTTGGTCATAGTCATATTTCCTGTTTTTATTGTGTTTATTAAATATAACTAAGGTATTGTGGATCTATTCGCTCCGTGCATGACAGCAGCGCTAATAAATTCATGTACTAATGGACTATTTTTGTGTATACTGACAATACAATTTTTAATAGAATTTGTAATTAAAAAGTATATAGGTTAGTTTTAATAAAAGTATATGGATTTGTAAAACAAGTGAAACATTATTTTTATTTTTATTATATGATTTTATCGCTTTAAACTAAAAAAAATTAAGTATATTCAATAAAAATCAATAATAAAATAAAGGCAAGCAACAGTATTTACGGGAAAATGTATGAGAAGTTGCCTAGGTCTAATATGATGTCTGAAGAATTAACCTATTCTGTCAAAATAAAAAAAATACCATTAAATAATAGCGTGAAGTTAAAATGTATAAACAGAAGGAATGTTGTTTATATTTTCTTCATTTTTTTTTTAAAGACAACAGAATGAATGATTAAAACTGATTTTCTATTAGTTAAGTCACAAAATTGTATTATAGTCACATACCATAATTAAAGGCAGAAATCTAGTTATTGCTGAATATTTAAGATTAAAGGGATGTTGAAGAACATCGTAAAATGATAATTTATTTAAAACCTTTTAGGTTTCTGATGCCAAAATTACAAAATATCGCCCTAAAGTGCTCGAATTATCCGTAGCTTGCGCTAGTAGGTATCGCTTTTGCTTCCCCTACCATAACTTCGCACTGAGCGAATAAGCAAATAAGACATATTAAGTTAGATAGTTATGAGTTATGATATTCTCCAATATTTTCTCTTTATATATTTAAAAGAACTACAACCCCCTAGCAAAACATATTTTAAAAGCATCCTGTACTATATAACGCTATATCAATACTACATACAATACGTTTTTAGTAGATTAATAACTTGATGCGATTTAAAGAGATAAATCCAAATAAATACCTTCCGATTTTCCGCTTTCTTTGTTAGCTCTTTAAAAGAAGGTAAAAAGCAACAGCAAGCATTTCCACGTTAAATCACGAGAAGTAATCAATTCTTCCCCATGTATACCGAAATCCTCACAAACTGGAAAACTAGAGAGAACATCAGAGCGAGTTGTGTTGAGTGTTTTTATCGTACGGAGGGAGTTATTACTGGGCTTTGTTTCAGAGATCCACCGGTATTACAGGCTTACAACAACACAGACATAATCCTCAGGCTGCCATTGGGAAAAAGAATTAGGGATATCCGATGGCTCTCGGTCTGGTGTAGACGATTCACGGTAAGTGTTTTCTTAATTTATCTGTTAATAATAATTATTAGTTTTTCACCAGTTATACATATCTACGTACAATGTAAATACGAGTTATAGTCGCTCATCTGACTGCGAAAAGTGGCACATCGATTTTTTACCCGCATCGATGGTTTTTTTGCCCATAATAAGATACATATAAGATTGAGTATTTATTATCTGTCATATTTATCAAAATATGACGATATCGGATGAAATTTTAAATTCATATTTTTTTTTTTTAGATAGATCCTTTCTTTCTGAATGGGCTTTGGGTGGTCTCTGACTTACCTTATCATAAGAAAATTATAAAACAGAGAGGTAAACGTTGTTTTGAATAATTAATAATTAATAACTGTCCACACCGTTGTCTGTGCTATCCTTCGAGCATATATATTTCATAGAGTCTGCATTCAATAGGGTTTGTTTACGTTATGAGGGGAAATGCTTAGACACTATTACCAGTGTCGCATCATTTTTACGGGGTTTAGAACCTCATCATCACTGGTTACATCTCATGTTATAAGAACCTTTGTTATTTTGTGGCTAGCTTTTTGGTAGTTATCTAAAATAGATTAATTATTTTATACAATATATACTTTTTTAAATAAATAAAATAACTCCCAGAGATTGTTTACGAAATACTATAACTATAATAAGTACCTCGTAACCAACAAAAATGCAAAATAATTCCATAAAACTATGTGATTAAAACCACAGTACAAAAGGGTAAAGCTTTAGTAAAAATACATAAAGCTGTAAGGTGTTTTATTGCCTAAAGGTGTGCTTAGTCAGCCTGATTTAGTTTTAAGCATTAACATCATTAACATAAAAGTTATTAATTCATTTTAATGTACCTGTTTATACAGAATTACAAGCTATTGTCTTAACTTTAAACTTTCGAGTTTCTAAATTATTTTTTACATATTTTTATTAATAGTTATGAGATAGTTAGCAGAGCAATTTTAAAAGCAGCTATCACATGTCTTTTTCCCATTTTTAATGGTTTGTCAAATGTTATATTTAAATTTCTCAAATATATGTTTATATTAATGTCTATGTTATTGATTAAAACAAAATTGCAGCTTTATAATATAAAAAATCACTCGCTTTTGGTCAAATATGTTTTATAAATAGAAAAAGAGTCCAATTTTCTCCTGAGGAGTCGCCCTTTTTCAAGCTCTTGGTAAAAGATACTTGTTGTTTATAAGAAGCTCCTGCTTTTGGGATGTCAGTCGTATATGGGAAATATTGCAAAAAGTGCAAAGAAAAACATGAAACATGAACTTCGAAGCTTGGACAATGACTTGACATTTCTAAACAGTGTCGACAACATAAAATTTCATATGAAAAAGAAAATTCTCAAAAATTCCTTGATTTAAAATAAATTGGTCCGGAAATAACGTCATTATTACGGTACTTTTGCGTCAAAAATTCACATCGACGCATTTAACCAAAATTCAACGTGATTATGACGTTAAACGACGTCCCTTTCTAGCTGGGAAGCGTTCTTAAATAGTAGGTACATAAAATATAAAAAAAACTTTATTTGGGTTAATTTTCAATAGAATTCATAATTGTGCCACAATTCGGGTGTTCCGCCAATTTTGCCCAACTCTGCTTTCAGAAATAGAAAACAAATATTAAAATTCGAAAGACGCTAAATTGGTGTTTCCACTTAAGCTCCCAAAAGCAAACTCGTATTATAAAAGAAACGAGATATGATTTGATTTTGAACGAAAGAAGATAAAAGCAATTGTTTAATTTGTGGTTTCAAACTATTTTGAAGAACGTAAATTGAGTTATCAGTGTTTATAATTCCATCTACAAAGTGTAAGTTTCCTGCTCTTTTAGCAGATAGAGTACCCTAAGTTATCATAGAGGCCCGAAACTTAATTTTCTTTTTAATGTGGTGATCAACAGTATTAAATATTCCTCAATTAGTTCTTTTGATTCGGCATCGATTATCACCAACGCAAAGTTCAAATCTAGCTTCGTCTTACTCCATATAATTGAGTTCCCCTAGTTCTAAAACCAAGAAATGTGTTCCTTTTCGCACAAAAGTCTATTTTTCTTCTACCTCTTTGTCAGTAAGCGCTTTCTTTTGCTTACAAAACGTAAAATTGAAAACGGATAAAAAGCGAAAGCAATTTGAGCTTATCTTGTAAGTTTTAAATCCTAGTTTTTGGACAGCTATTGCTATTTAACCATTTCCTGGTTCCCTAATACTTTTACTGTCATTAGGTTTTGCATGATAATCCTTGTCTGAATTTAAGATGAGGTAGCGGACACTTTTTCTGTCGACGTAAGGGTTTATATGTAAAAAGGGATTTTACAGTTTGGCGAAAAGTAGCCTTTGTTTTGAAATAGGTGTAAGAATGGAACCAAAACTCGAATATCGGTCATTTTTTATTTAGTAGTTTTACCTCACTTACCATAAATAAGACTATTTTGACATTTTTTCACGAAAACACGGGGTGGATAAAAGGGCGAAAGGGTTAAAACCACTAAATCATAAAATTCTCGTAAAGGCAATACTCTTAGTTGAGAATTTTTCTATGACAATTTTTCGAAAAAACGAAAAATTAGTCTTTCCAACTTTTTTCCAAAAGTAAACTAGCAAAATTAGGAACAAATTACTTTATCCATATTACTGACCAGGTAAGAAAGCGATCTGGTGAGACGAGTCGTCGCTTTTGGCAGGAGGCGATACGCTCCCACTGCTTCAAGCGAACATGGACTCCATCTCACCGAAATATATCTTCCATAAGCCATATAAAGTTATAGTAGAACAAATAGAGGAGCCGGAAGTTTCAGGTACGATTCATATCTACACCGACGGAGAAGAATTGTATACCCCCAACATGCGTGATATTTCAAAGACGTACTTTAGAAACATTTTGTGTGGATCACTCCATATAATAAATTAGAGGACGGCTCGAAATACCATTTAAGGACGATTAAAATGATAACATCAATATAGATTCATAGAGTATTGCACGTCAATTAACTGTACAACTACTTCTTACGATTGAGTTACAATAATAAAGTTTAATAAATTTTATCTTACACAATAAATAAAACGAATATCACCAATTTTCATAACTCGAACGATACATATTTTTTAAATATGTTTGTATGCGTTTGTATCTGAGAATCATAGTTTCCATAAAATTCATCTAATTTTTTTTTCGTACTTTTCGATCTTACCCGTACTTTGGGGATATCTTGGACAAATATGGTTTTCTATAGAAATAAAAAAAAAATGTATATTTAAGAGCTTAGAAAACTTTAAGAACATTCACTTTTCTATTGTTAAACAACAGAATACAACTCGGCTACTTGACCAAAAGACAACTTTTTTTATACGGGCTGGGAACTTTAAACCCTTTCTATATTGTCGAGTGAATAAATTTGTAGGTATTAGGTTCTTAGTTTGTGATGGCATATCGTCTGATAGTACCCCTAAAAACATAATTCCCGCCAAAATGCTGTATAGATTATGTGTATTTTGAATTATTTCATCTCGCTAAATTTGTAAGTGCTACAATATTTCGTATTATTTTTTTACGTTTAATTTTTTTGTTATAAAAAATATTAAATTCTAAATTTTTTTTTGAGAATACTTACTTTTCTATTTTATGCTATACCATGTGGTCTTACAGTTAATAGTGATGGCTCTCCATATTTTTACCACATAAAAACAGCTGATTTTTTACCATCTGATATCAAAATAGGGGCGCTTCCTATATATCCCAACTGTGTTTTGCCCAAATATTTTGAAGAAGCCAATTTCTTTTTGAATTTTCGCTTTTTTTCCTATTCCTATTACGGTTAACGAAATTAATTATGCCAATAATTATAATATTGAGGAAATAAGCACCAAACGATGATAGGTATTTATATCATTGAGCGCCCTGTGTTGGAACATTTAAGCCAAAGAATATACCAAACTCAATAGTGGAACGAGAACATAATACTAGCTATATTTGAAAGGTATTTATTCAAAGTTTTGTTCTCGCCGTGTTGATTTTCCAAAATTTACGTTCGTACCCTTTGTTGTACTTTCTCAGTGATGGAAACTGGCGTATGCATAAAGTTGGAATCCATTTCTGTCCATTAAATCTGTCTGTGTGGAGAGCGTATGCCGTTCCGCTAAAGTGGTTCCATTTACGGCTAAACCGTAAATCATAGAAATGTCCAGAGGCGTCACAACATCCCCTCTGCACACTTCATGCTTCAGCGCCCCCTACCACCCTATTCATCGTGCTTGCTAGTTTGGATGCTAATTTTTTAAAGCGTTCTATAAAGGTTATATAAAAAAAATATATTTTTTAAAGATACATGATTTTCATGGCTCAAAGAAAGTCTCGGTTGGAGAAGCTGGAAAATATTTATTAAAAGAATTCGAAAGTTAATTCAGAAATACTAGTGTCAATCATCGAATCTTATGGTTCTCTAAATAAATGCAATATTAATCCAACATTATTAGGACACTTATCTTTTTCATAAAACATCCCCTAAAATGTTTTTTTAAAAATGTAAATAAATATTTGTTTTGTTTAGAGTTTTTTTACTATATAAACATCTGACACGTCAAAAATAAACTGTTTTTATCGTCAACCGTCAATAAAGTCATACATTACCATAGCGATTTGCGGAAATAAACAAACACTTTTATCTACCGTTAATACTTATCAACATAGCCATGACCGTCTGACTCAAAATGCACACAATTTTTTTCTACGATAATAATTTTTTATAGAAATATACAGGGTGTCCCGAAATTAGACGGTCATATTTTAACATCCTAAAATAGGAGTAAAAGTTCATATACGCATAGGTTCGAAAATGTTTCTTTTTCGAGATACAGGGTGTAACAAGTGAAGTTCTGATGGTACATTTTTGTAAATATTTTCTAAAATTTCTTTAGTCACCGGTTTTCCAAATAGAGCGTAAAAAGATAAGCTTTTGTACCAAATTTCACTTAG